GAGGTCAGGATAGCTCTCTGCCCCCTCTCCTGTCCCCTAATTTCAGCCATAGTAGGTATCATAGGCACCTGAGAATAAGAATTAGCCGTTTTAAAACTGAATTTTATTCTTCTTGAACTTTTCATTTGAATTTTTTTGGATCTCATCTCAAAGGAAATGGAATCTTGAGAGCCTCGTGGATAATTTTAGAATCAGCATGAATAGGACGTCACATTTCTTAAATGAAGAAGGTCAAAAGACCTATTTACTCTCAGAGGAGGGACATGACCTCAGACTATGAATACATTCTCGTAAGGGTTATCTCAGTTGTATCGAATTTTCCTCTGCGCACTAGAATTTTTCAATACGACGAGAAGGAAGGACAGGGCTAATCTGAGGCCATACTAATAACGCGGCCAACGTCCGAAGGAGCGAAAGCCAACGGTCATAATGCATCTTGAGTGTCTCTCCAAGTCGCCATAATTTACCCGACTTTGGCCGGCGTCCAACTCTGCACCCCCCGCAACCCCCCTACCCGACCCCGTGCCTAGACGCGCCCTTGCCTCTCTCCCGGAGCCGTTGAAACTCATTACGTAGAAATTTCCTGGCGTGGCGGTCCATGGGTTGTTTTACCTATTTGATGTGACGCTTTACTCGAAACGACTTCGTGTTAGTGTTGAGTGGTCCAGTATTTTGACGAAGCCTCGTGGAAAGAGCGGTCCACGGCGAGTCGATTTATGGACGTATCTAGGCCAAAAGGAACTAAGTGAGAGCGAAATAAATCGAAAAGAGCTACGGAGCGCGTATATCCTATGTACTTAGTTCCTTTTGATTTAATTCGCGTGTGCGTAGTTCCTTTCAGCGTAAATACGTCCTTATTTCCAATCACCGTCGCGGAGACTAGCTTTGCATTGCTGATGGGTCAACGATGTTTTGCAAGTGAAATGATTTTTCAGGACTGGATGTCTGATTGGATTAGCCGTGGACGCTGAACAAACTGCACTCGGGGAATTTTGCCAGCAGCGTACGTCTTCGGCTGTCGATAAGCCTCACTAACCTCCGCAAATGACATCGCCGGTTATTAGAATAACATCTGTCGAACACTTATTTGCATAAATGTTGTTTTTGAAGATATTTGCCCCCTTTCTTTTTCTTAATATTTCGTGCGGAAGAAAAGAGAGTCGAAAAATTGGATCTTGTAAGCACAATTTCAAAGTGTGATGTTCACAGGGTGTATAGAAAATTCTTCACATAGGCTGGTCCAGACACTTCAGGAAGGGGCGTAAAGGGGATCCAGTGGCCCGCTCCTCAACAATTTTCAAAATTTTCCATGTAATTTCAGTCAATTTTGTCATGAATAATTACCCAATCGAAAAGTACTTCCTGTTCCGTTCCGTCCTTTTTTCTTTGTATCCTTTTTCTTTCTCCTTTCGTCAGGCGATCNGGGGGGGGGGGGGGGGGGGGGTGGTATGTACGCCCCCTCCTGGATTCACCTTTGATTCTTGAGCGTACAAACCTTGACTCGCTGCGGAAGAGAGTTCTAGTATGTTTTGATTCACTATCAGATGCGTTACCTCATGTGGCACCCTTCACCAGTGGTGATTCTTTCAAGTTGGCAACGCTGCATTTCCTCCAATTAAATGTATGTAAGAGAATCAACTTTTGACTTTTGGTGAGGTAGCTTGCCTCGCCTAAAATAGATAGTTTCAATGGGTTTAAATGTAGGGCAAACAGTGTCGCCAACTTGCAAAATCGCCACGACCTTTCACGTATAGTCCCTCGGAGACTCAAACGCCTGTTTAGGAAAATAGCCAATCATTTACTAATTAACTAATCTCAAGTGTGTGACTGTATTTGATTCGTGCTCACGACCCAACCGAGGTTTCCATCAGCTTAGTCTCCTGCGCCTAAAAAAGTTGAGCGTGCAACCCGCAACATAACCGCAAGTTCTGTTAGAGTACCTGTATACGGGAGAGTATTGCCATCTCAATCCTTATACCACAGAAAAACTGTGCCGCTCTCTGATTGGTCGGGTATCATGGAGCCCCAAAGTTGGACCAATTCAATCAAACCCCAGCCCTTCCGCTCCTAGTTAGGCCCAATGTAAACATAAACAATATGGCGAAAAAGTTCCACAAAGTTCTGAACGTGATTTTGGGTGTGAAAGACAATTTTTTTAAATCCAACTCCTAAATTTAGTTCGGATCGATCTTTGATGAATATTTTCGCCAAAAACTATGCTTTAAGTGTGAGTATCTTTCATTTTTCAGCGGATAATACGTGTTCCTCTGGTTCGGCTTTGTTTACATTGGTCCAACTTTGGAGCTCCATGATAGCCTAAAACCGGTGAACTAATCAGAGAATGGCACAGAGATGGCAATACTCTCCCGTATACAGGTACTCTAAGATCTGTGGGTAGGTGTTCGCCTGGGTTTCTTAGCCTCGTATCGATCTATGAAGAACGCAAGTACGTGATTGGAGTATTTGAACTCGAGGTAAAGTGCAAGTATGCATTATAATCCTCTCGTCGTTGAATAATTGAAAATCTGTCTGCTTCGTCATAAATACCTGCTTTACGGAGCGCCAACTTGAATTATCGTCTGATCCCTCACGTGCATGTTCGCGATGCGTCCCGAGCTTTGCATTTTCGCTCCATCGGATCACGAGCAGGAAAATTTCCCAAGAGTTTTCGTGACCTGTTCTGCCCGAGTGGCTCGGGAAGGATGCCGACGAAGGGACGTCGCAAGATCGAATATCGATACTTCCCCGCATTTGAAGCTGTGGTGAAGAATCGATTAACAAGATGTTCGTTGCGGACACCTTGTTCACCGATCCTTTTCCATTGGTTTAAACGGCAGATCCGATAGGACTGCGTTTACCACAAAGGAATCAAGCCACATCAGCGATTGCCAACTTTAACTCAGGAATTTAATTTTTTACAAGGAAACTTTAGTGCAAATTCTTATGAACATTTGAAGGAGCTTATACTTCGTACTAGGCAGAAAATTCACTGAACTTTGCACAAAACTCTGCACAACCCTTTTCATGTAAAAACAATTATAGATCCAAATTAAGTTTGGGAATAGCTGATGCAGTTTGGTCTGTTTACGATGGATTTTCACTCTGGTACCCAAAGTGAAAAGGATACCGACTACCGAGTCAACATAGGAATGACTATGACTGATCCCAGTTATCTAAATGGGATCTGGGCAAGGAGAGCGCCTGCATTTTTAGATGATAGACCAAAAACATACAAATCAAAATATTTTAAACTGTATTATTTATACGAATGCTGTCGTTGTATATGGATTTTTGGGTTTTTAATCGACTGGCCCGGTTTTTAAAAAGCAATGCCGATTTTAAAATAGAGCCTTTCCCTACTTAGAGTATTTACAGACAATAATTGATTGATCCAAGTGTTTTTTTGTATCTTTCTTTTCTCCAGCTTATTTCACGGCCTCTTGCATAACTGGAAAATATTACTATTTTCTATACTTTTAACACTCCACACTTTTTTCTTGTACGTTTACTGGCCGTGAGATAAACACCGTCAGGGATCTGGTACTGGCTACTATATTTTCTGGGAATCATATGGATTGCATTTTGCAAAAAGGAACCACTAGCATTGCAATGATGCTAAGACTGTGCAACTTCATCTTTTGCAATAAAATTGCGGAAATCGTGAAAAACTATGAAATTGAGATGGTAATTTTTGTCTTAAATTTACAGTTTTTAGCGAGTAAAATAGAAACTATGAATGGATAATCGGGGTTTTCGTCCAAGACAAAAGAAGTTGCACAATCTTAGCAACATTGCAATGCTAGTGGTTCCTTTTTGCAAAATGCAATCCATATGTAGCCGGGAATCGACGAATCAGTTAGTGACATATTTTTAACGTATGCAATGCTTTGCAATTAAATCGACTGACACCTTTTCCATCAATTTATGGGCGTGTGCAAAATGAAGTAAATGTGGAAAATTGGACTTTTCAATTGAATTCACGTTCGTGCATTTGAGTTAAACTCACAACATGCGCATCCTCACGGATTTGCCTGCACATTAAACAAGTTTTGCGAGTTCGCAAAAAAAGCTAATATAAAAAATCATCATCATCTTTGACCGAGATTGAAGTGAGATTTAAAAGCGAATGATGGCAACCGTGACCTGAAAAGATCGAGTTACTTGCTTGAGTCAATGAGATTTGCACTTTTTGATGTGAGTCGATTGAAAAATGATTCGTTTTTAGAAAGAGTGGTATTGTCAGGTATCGACTGCCTCAGAAGAAGCATCAAAAAGTATTCTGATTCAAACAATAGTTAATAGTACTACTTTAACGGTCAAGTGCCTCATGGACTTGCCAAGATTAACTCCATCTGAATAGGAAAAAATAGATAGGTTTCCACATGAATGTTGAATGACTTTTCAGGGAAAACTGAAGCACTGAGATTTCTAATTTGAGTCATAGTCTTTAAATATTACAAGAGGAAAATTAAAATTCATACCATAATTTTTTGTCTCACCAAACTAAATCTGATCACTTGCCAGGTCAGAGAATCATTTCCTGCTTGGATCTTATTTTTCTCAAGATCAGAACAAAAATCAATTAACAAGTTTATGAGTTGACCTTTTGGCTGTAGAAATATGACAACTCAATCTTAATCGCTCATGAGATTTAATTGGTGATAATTTATTTTCTATCTGAATATTTCTATGAATCTGAGATGGTTTCTGTAAAGAACCACAATGTGTATTTCTCGGCATAGGTGATGATAGTTAAATCATCCAGTTTGAAAACGACCCAACCCGGGTTTTTTCTTTTTTTTTTTTTTGTTGTTATTCTATTCTGTAGACACTCCTTTTCTGCTTTTACAAAGTTTTTAATGTCTTCTGGAAAACTTCATTTTCCCGAGATGGGTCGCTTTTGAACTGATTAAATTATTATAATTTTTTTTTTTAATTCTGATGATAAAATTGGTTTGTGGGTGGACAAGGAGGAGGAATCGAAGAAACAAGAGAAAATATCTGATTAATTTATAAATGTATTTAAATTTGAATCATATTTTATATACTTCTGAAAAAACATAATAACTTAAAATAATTCAATTCTAACAGGCTACAAAGACAAGAGAAGAAGAAATAGAACCAATTAAGCTATGAAACATTAATACAATCTAAACTATTTGAAAAAGCAACAATGGGATCTGAACATGGACGGACTATATTATTCCAAAAGGAAAGTTCCCAACAAAAGCGGAATAATTCTAGAATACCAGTCATTATCATTACTTTAACTTTGAATTTTCTGCACGAGAGCATAAACGCTGTCGCGAAAGACGAGGAGGCAGAGAGAAAAACAAGTATAAGAGTCAAAAAAGAAAAAGTGCGTTGATCGGCACTCGCTAAATATTGAATCCTCTTTATCTTCAAGTGACAGAACGAGTACAGAAAAGCAACTATTGCGAACAGGGCAATGAAAATAAACACCTGACAAGTATTATTTACACTGTATATACACCGTTCACATTCAAATCCCGATTATTTGCCTGACTATGTATACAAGTATCTGCATACATAAGTATCTAACGCGTGCGCTGTGGAGCACACACATTCAATCAAATATCGGCCTAGATAATAAAACATGTACCTACAAATTTTGTTTTTTTAAAACTCTAAAAATTAAAAACAAAATATTGAGATCAATATTAATACATCACAGAGTTTTAAACAAATGTTCAATACAAAACAAGAACGTGTTTCTTCTTTCTTTAATTTATATTTTATTTTCTTCTTGACCGCATTTTAAACGACACCACATCAGGCGCATGATTGATTCTACGTTAATCAACTAACTCAATTATTCAACTTCTGATTTGAGAAATCAAACAAACTTGATTTTTTTTTTTTTGGAAAAAGAAATACAAAAACAAACAAATACAAAATTACTGAGATCTTGGATCGTTACTTCAAACGATTTCAGTTTTCAAAAACTTTATTCTAGGATAGCGTTTAAGCATTCCAGGTGTTTCCATTGACAATTTTCGAATGAAGTTACGTAATCTTGTAGCGAGGTTATGCTCCTGTGAACAGCCCGAAGATACTTTTGAAACTAAAAGTTGGCTTTGGAGTGAGTGACATAGCCTGCAAGATGTTTTATTGGCTGCTCTGTTTTCATAAATCAAGCCACAAAGATTGTTGAACATAAACTTAAGTATGAAAGCTCAGTGGGCTCAAGTCTTCTCAGACTTTAAAATAATTTTGTACTCATTAAATTATCTTTGGAGAGATGAGATTTTGTGACAATAAAGAGAAACTTAACAGCATACACGCAACAAATACAAGTATTAGATGCTCTTAATCAAATTTTGATCCGAAATTTGGCACATGAGCTGCATGAAGAAAATTATGGGGACATCAAACCGACTGTTAGAAAGAAGGTTGATATATTTATTTAGACTGAGACTATAGGCTGAGCCAGTGATTGTAAAGACAAAATTTTTATGCGGGGTTTTTGAAAAAAAAGAGGTGTTTCAGTCGGTGAAATTAAGAACTGTAAAAAAAAATATTTTTGGAGAAGGCGGCGGCGGTGAATCAACTTTAGTGCCAATTTGCTGGTTTTGAAAGAGCTACCTATTCTTTGGACGTTTGCTGAAAGCATTAGCTTGGATCAATATTTGAGATCTGGAGTGAATAACTGAGAAATCTACCATCTACGAACATTAATAAATTAACTCAAATTTAATTAGAGAATAAATTACTGATTTAAATTAACAGAAGTAAAGAAGAAAGACGAAGAAGACCCTAAAATGATTGAAAAAAGGCATTACACAGAAACGGTCTTGTCTTCACATTTAACCATGGATCCACATGGCATCAATTCGAAAGTTGAGTTGTGCAATATTTAATTCTCTAGGCTTGAGTAGACAAGTTAGGGAGGCTGAAAAATTCCCTTCGTTCGGAAGACAAGACGTCTGTGATGGATATGTAATAGCGTTTATAATGAAATGTAGAACAAATTCAATTAGAGATGAAAATTGAAAAAGAAACATAACAAGAGGACATTTCGTTAGTTTTGTCTGAGAGATCAAAACGAAATACAATAATAAAACGTACAAAATGATTGCGGGATAGAATTATGAAATAAGAAGGGGGGAGAAACTAAAAATGAACGAAAACTAAAAATGGTATCATCAAACTGTACCAAAATCATTGAAAATGTGTCTTAATTTTTAAAGAATTATCATCAAGAGTAGATACTGGTTGAAACAGTGTTCAAGGGAAAGTATCCTAAGTCAAACTCAAATGTGGACTTGAAAACTAGATCATGATAGAAAACATCAAGAACACAGGGTAGTCTCGAATGTTCGATCAAAGGGGGAAAAATTACACTAGATAGATGTTACATACTTTTTTGTGAAGAAAAACAGAAACTGTCTTTTAGAACATTAAAATCTTCATTCTTAAGCATACCCTGAGGTTTGAATTTTTCTATAGAATCTGAAGTATTTTTTCAAAAGCTACACAGATTGAATCCAGCAGGAAAGATATGGTCCAACTTTCATACCTCATAAAATATGCATTAAGATGGAAAGGTAAAATAATACCAACTTAGAATTCAATTACATACTGTTAAAAAAATATGCAATTAATAAACCAAAAATTAAATTCGATAATGATTGAAATACAGCGATGAGGTACGATTTAAACAGAACTTAAAGATTTTCATAATATAGCCAATGAACTGAAAATTAAGTTCGAGTCTTGACAAACAGATAAAGATAATGATTAAACTGATGGATGAAACACTTGAAAGACGATGATACAGTGATGATAAGATTCAATTACAATTCAAATTTTGTACTGTAAATATAGATTGAAAAGAACGTGGTTTTAAACTGGAGATTTTGAGCTTCTAACAAGCAATTTTAAACATTCTGTTTGCTAGGTACCCATTTATTTCTCTAGTAGTACCTATTAAATGAAATTATACCCTGAGGTATCAGGACTGAAAGAAACGAATTCCTTTTTGCAAGAATCTGGGGGTAAAAAAGGGGGGGAAAAAGCAACCACTCTGGAAACTCGATCTACTCAGTCTCACAATTAAAGAGTACCTTGACCATTTTTAAAGAAAATAGATGAGGAGAGAAAATTAGATCTCTACTTGGGGGGGAAAAAAATCTGATGAACGAGAGAACAAAAACCTAATTGAGGCAGAGGGGAGAGAACTAGAAAAAAAATATTACAGAATATAAATCTAACAAACTCTTTGAGTTCAAACATAAAACAATTTTTTTCTTCTTTTTTCGATTTTTAAAGTAACAGCAATAATTAAACACGACCTTCTCTATTGAAGATGAACTTGCACTCTTGTGATTCAGCAAGGCTTTCCGATCCCGTTCCGATTATCCAACATCAAATTCGTAAATTCTGTACAGAACCACTATTTACACGATAATTTGAGCACCATAAATTCAATGTCATTAACAAGATACAATTCAAACTATACAGCCGGGGAATCCGTTTATACACTTGTTATCCACGTTCATCTATAGAGTCGGTCATTCTGGAGATCTTCATGAAAGGAGAGATCTTCATGGAATTTAATTTGAGTTGCCGACGGTGAGACTCCTGGCTCGCTTTCGCGGGCTTTGGTCCTCCTGGTCAACAACTTCGACGATTTTGGCTGACGCCGAGATGCGCCTCTTTCGCGTCTTCATGTAATCTGCAACAGAAAAAAAGAAAATATTTCGTTAGAAAACCGCTTAAAAACTCTTCTAGGTGAATAAAGAATCCATGAAAAGTTGAAGTGTAACATGACCATAACAAAGCTCCTTAAGCATAAACCCGAAAAATTTTTACGACTCAATTATGCCGTTGTACCTAGACGTTTTCCCCACAAAGAAACGTAACTCCATTCCAAGGTTGCCAAATTGGCTTTAACAATAAGAGATTTTACAAGAATGTATCCGTACGATTTTCGTCTAAAAATATTGCGAATTTGGCATGGGATCAGAGGAAAAATCGGTAAAATTTTCAATTAGAAATGCTAGATTCTCCCATTAAAAAATGAAATTTGTGCGGAAAAATATGGCAACATTGAAGTGCAGTTACGTTCTTTTCTGTGAGAAACGACGAATTGTGGCCCGTGATGCCTTTGTCCATTTTTTAAGGGGGAAAGAAATTCCGAGAAAGCGAAAATGCTATTGGAAATAGGTACACGCGCGTGATTATTATTCAAGAACGGCGCAAGAGCCGACCATCGCGGTCGAAACGGCCACACATGGTACCGGAACATCTGTCTTACTTACTTTGCGGAAGAAAATAAGGACAGAAAAAAAAAGAAAAATCAGCGTGAAAGAGGGGCGCCTGCGCAATGCGACTTCGAAAACGTATTACCTAGTAAACAAACCATTTGTTAGTAAAAACAAAACCTCAAGCCACGAGCAGGGTAACCATCGATGCCGTTTATGCGGCCGAAGCCGAAATTTCCTCCCGAAAAGCGGATAATTATCGCCAGGAATGGCAACGCGGGTGACAATTTAGTCCTGAGGGACATGCGGAGGAGCGGGGTGGGGGCAGGAAGATTATATCGGGGAGAGGCGAACCGGACAGGATAAGTGAAATGAAGGGTGGAAAGGAGGCAGGGGGAGGGGGTATGCAGCGAGCGAGGCTGAGGAACACACGTGTTCCAGAAGAAAAGAAGATACGATCAAAGGAGAGAGAAAGGAGAAGGAAGAATAAGCCTCGGTTGGTAAAAAAAAATAAAAAAAAAACCCTCCTCTTGTATCCTATTCAAGCTGGGACGTCCAAGTCCATTGCCCCGGACAGCTACATGCAGCGGCGTCACATTTTCAAACTTAGTGATTTGAAGCACCGTAAAAGCTTATTAATATAGTCATCGTAAGAGCCAAAATTTCCAAATTGAAAGCTTAAAAGTTCTGAGCTTCTTAATATTGTCACAAATACTGCGAGTTGGACTAACTAGACTTAGTAAGGAAAATGGGGCAAAAGTCGCCGAATTTTTTTCCCCCTTTCAATGACATTGTCTTGAAGGAAGTGGGTATCTACTTAGTTAAGCTGATGATTCTATATAAAAAAGAAAGGAATATATTGTCAACATACATACATAAATTCTACCAGGCTCATCTCAAATTTTTGCTACCTTCTCAACTTGATAATTATTCAGCGCGTTAACATACTTAATAAATGTTTTAGGTAAAATATTGCTTAAATTGATTTCTAATACTTAAAAATTCTGTACCAGCACATTCCCTCCTATTTTTGTCCAGTGTAACAGCTTAATTTTTAGTTTTTGGGCGCTCGTGAGTTCGGTCTGACTGGACCAAACCCTCCAAGCTCCGAAAAATCAGGGCAACCTCAAAAACCCGCAACAGCGCTCGACCATGACTCTTCTGCTTCGCCCCCTCGTAGACTCGAGCCCCTGTGGGTATCCTCCTGAGCCCCCCCCCCCCCCCGATCCCCCGCTGCAGCGTAGGGCACGCCAGGATTACGGACGTCTTTTTCTTCTTCACTACTACTACAACCATTCCCCCGCCCCCTCTGCCGTACGAACCTCGCGTCCTGCGGGCACGTAATTACTACGGCCACCAGCGCGCTCGCCAGATCGAGAGAAAAATTCGCCTGATGATATTCAGTGCGAGAGGGCGAGTTCTTTTTTTACACCGAGACAAGGCAACGGTGACGGTCACGATGGCCGAGAGCCAACGCGGGCTCGACGAAGCTCGGTCCGCAGGATGCGCTGGCTCGTGGCAGCTTTTTCAAGCTTCGAACCACCTGCAGAGAACACTATTGGGAAGACTCTGCAGCCTGCTAAAGCCTTGTAGCAACGAGTGATTGGTAAATCAAATTTTGAAAGAAAGGCAAGGATTGATTAATAATCACGGCATCGCATTAAAACCCATCAAGAGAAACCACTATTTTCGTTTTCGGTGCACTCTTGCAGGTGCTCATGCGTTAGAGAAGGTTCAATATGATGAAAAGGGTTTTTGTTTCGCTGAACAAAAGCAACTCAAGGTTGACGAGATCAGGGAAGCAACTATTCGTGTTCCAGAGTAGTGCTGATTGCATACACGAAAAATTGCGGGCGTTTTGCCATCGGGGCTTATCTACGTAAATTCAAAGCAGCAACTATTCGTGCTCCGATAACATGCTGATGGCCTACACAAAACATTGCAGGCGTTTTTTCTGGGCACAATTCGTGTGATATATGTTGAATGCGCAGATCACTCGGGGAATCCACGCATTTTCGTACGAAAACAACACGAGAAAGGACTTAAATACGCGAAGTTAGGCAGCCCTCAGCCTGCAAGGTAACAGAAGCTGAACGCGATGAAAAAAGTACGATAGCTGAACATGCAGGAGGCCTTTGGTCTTATTACGCCTCATTACATTTTTCCCCAGGTGCTAGTTTCTGTCACAACTTACTTAAAGGACTGTCACAACTCGTAGAAATTTCTTCTTCATAAAAAAGCTCGGGTGAGACTTACAATAAGGGCTGCATACTATAAATAAATTCGTAGGATTTATTTCTCTCCTTTCGAATTCCAACCGATTCATTCCCACAAATATCCCGAGCCGAAAACGGCATTATTCAAGGATACTACAAAGGCACTTCACAACTTATTCGGAGTCTATTAAATCCGAATTCAGAGCTAATATGAAGAGGTCGAAACGCTCGAGGAAGACGTTGGTACGGCACAAAAAGGGCACTTCAAGGCGATCAGACGCGCATTCAAAACTTTCACCCGCGTGTCAAAAGACACGAGCGAACAAAGGCAAATGGAGAGATGAGATACAAAAATTCCACGACCTCTCCAAAATTTAATTCAGTGAAAATAAATCGAAGACACGCCGGAGAAAGCGTGAAAGAGTTTTGACCCCGAAGATTAATTTTTTTTCTCCGAGACACGGCGATGGCCCGCTGGCTCTTGAGGCCCGAAAGGGGTGGGAGCCAGGGGGACAGTAACTCAAAACATGTATATTAATCAACGACACAAAGCCAGCCCTCTCCGGGTGAAATTATTTTTCGGGCCTCCAGCCTCCACCCTTTGCCCGCTCCCAGGGGACGATTTCGAAACTGGCTCATCTCGGGGTAACCCTTTTCTTCGGGGGCCTCCCGTTCCTGGTCTCGCGTGTGTGTTTCAGGGTTGCCGCGATGTCACAAGGTCAACTTTTTTGAGTCTCCAAGTTCGAGGTCATGTTTTCCCGAATAAACGGGGCTCCAGAACAGCAACTCCTATTCCGTACACTTGTATTATGCGACTCGAACTTCCGTCATGGCGATATCCTCTTGAAACAAAAAGACTTCCGAGTGACATACATGACACTCTTCTTCATACTTAATTAAAAGCCTCTTATAGAATTCAAAATTCAGGAGCGAACTTCGATGCCGGAGTCTGTATAGCGCCCAAAATCTTAAAAATCTCAGTTTTTATGAATGCGAAGCGAAGTAAGCACCATAAAAGCGTAAGACCCTGCAAAAACGAGCAGATTCCGTTCCGTAATAATATGTGTCACTCCGTAAGGAGTATGGATTTCGCTCCGCATCTATATCACTCGGGGTTTTTGGGCTTTATATAGACTCCGGCACGGAATTTCACTCCTAAATTTTTAAAAGTGTGGTGAACTAATCAATTTCGAAAACGAGACTGGCAACATCGCCCGGTGTTTCATCATAACGGAGTTTGGATTCGTTTGGGCAGCATGTGGAGCGAATCGCGATACCGTGAGAAATGACGGCCGTTGGGGACTTGGGGAGAAAATTCGCACGCACGTTTCGCGGGCCGGAGTCATCCGAGCACCTGAAATAGCGGTTTGCGCAGCATTTTTGCCGGCCCGCCGCGGTTGGACCAGTTCTCCGCCTTCCTTCTCTCCCGCTGGGATCGGACTTTTCCGCCTCCCCGTGTTCCCGAAAACACCTGGTCGTGAAACATTCCTCTTGAGACGATCTTCGGATGAACTATTACTCAAAGAGTACCGTTTCGTAACACTTTCAGTAGAATGGCTATACCTTGCCATGATTGAAAATCCCACCGAACGTAATTTTTTTAATGAGAGGTTTTAGCACCAGCCGCCGCTCGAAAAAGGAATAAAAGTAAATACCTAATAAGGGGGAGATGTTCCAAAGGACTTAAGTAGATTACCGTTACCTAACCAGAGGTATTGGATCCCGTTATGTACACTGGAAAAAAAACTCATGGGATCTAGAGCCTAAACTCTTAAAAACATCTACAAGAAAAAATACTCTTGATTCAATCGGATTTTTGCTTAAATCAAGAACCAAGCCTCTTAATTTGAGCGGATTTCCTTTTGATTTAAGCAAAAATCTGATTGAATCAAGAGTATTTTCTCTTAACGATGTTTTTGAGAGTCTGGACTCAAGATCCAACGTGTTTTTTTTCCAGTGTATTAAGGAACTAACTTTTTTGGCTTATTTTAGAGCCGACCAAAATGAGCTCTTCGTTACCTTGAGCAGATATGTTCTTTTTCAGATTCGGGAAAATGGTGTTTTTTCACTGTGAAATGTACTCTTAATTGAATAGGGCGAATCTGCCTTAACTTGGTTTGAAAATAAAGCGCAAGGGACCTAATTTTCAAACGGCATCTTTCTCGCGGAAAAGTGAGCCTCAATTAGAGCCACAATTCCTCGGAGTACGCCGGAAAAATCCACATGACCATCTCGCCTCCTTCTAACAACGCGCG